GAAAAGAAATAAAATAAAATAAATAAAATGCACGATATTCACACCGTTGTAATACCTACACGTAACACTGTTATACAAAAAGCTTTAGAGTGCGCTAGTTGGAGGTCGCTCCGTGAACTTTTGGGCCTCGTATTGATCCAGTGCCCTGCGTAGTTGTGTAGTGCGTATAGGAATATACATGTATACGGTTGGCGGGACGTTTGCTCGGTTTTGCCTACAAACGTTATTTCCCCATGCTACGGTTAATTGTACTTGTACACATACAAACACACACACACACACACACACACACACACACACATATAATAATAAATACTCATACATATACGAATTTATGTACGGATATATCTTTGTGCGTTTTTGTTCTATTAGTTATGTATCACACTCATGGGAATTCCTTGTACGACTGCGAGTATTAATCAATTCCTGAGGAAAGAAAACTGTTTTCTCTGGATCAGTAAGACGATCGACGTGTCACCACCGCTGGGAGTCGTATAGTTTTCTGTACACGCACACATATTCAGTGTGCCGCTTGACATCGAAATGCATTTTGCGTTTTCGCAATCCGATCTAAAATGAAGAGAACGCTAAAATTGCGGATCGATTTTTAACTCTTGTTATCAAGTTGCTTACATTTTAAACGTATGCATATGTTTTATACGTCAAAAGAGTATAATATTCATAGATTTAGGTAGTGATTGAGGCAGATACGTTTTATTGTATAGTAGTAATAATAATAATAATAATCATAATTATGATAATAAAAAAAAGGCGAGAAAGTAATTTGTGACCATGTGCACGCCGCCCAGTAAATATAATGGCTAAAACTGTAACGGATTATGTAATATTTCGTATTAGAACTTTAAATTGCATAAATGTTTATATAATTAGAACATATAAAATACGAAAATAGTACAAACGGATCAGTGTTCGAAACTTGAGGTGAAACAAGCGCTTACTGATGATTATTTTGAGCATCTATTTATATTTATAGTCTTACAAGTTTTGATAATATTTGAAGATTTTGGTTTTTACTGGTTTGAATACGCCAACGGTATGACCAAAGAAAAAAGATAAAAATTCAAATTTGATTGAATCGATTCTCGGCTTTAACCACGTTAGATATAATTTTCCGATACGTTTAGTGCCCACCACATGGAATTCGATTATTTGTCGCGCCGACGGGGGGTTTTCATTTCTCCGTGAAAAACTCATTTTCTTCGGTTCGTTCATAGGAAGTTTTTTCACCCCCTCCTTACACAATCGTCCCCAGACGGAATTACCAAAAGACACGCGAAACCGTATATAGGTGCTTAAATTATTATCGCGATAGGATTTTAAGGGGGCGAAAATGTTACGTCGTTTTCATTCGTGAGTAGGCTCATGTACATGAAATAATAATGCATAAGCCTTAAATTACCGGCACGCAATTTAATATTTTTTTACTATTTTTTTTCAGCTCTAGATTATTATTGCACTTAAATCATAGGGCCGTATTCTAATCGAAAATCCTTTGCATAACAAACTTTACTATTAATTTTATTTACTAGATTATACATAGTCCACCCGAATAATGAAACAAATATTAATGACTCATCAACCAATTCTCGCGTTTTCTTTTGATGTGAAGTTACAATGTTTTTCCAGTTTTTCTTCAAGTTTATTATTTTAATGTTTGAAAAAAAGTACACATTTTTGCAATATTAATACAGTATTCACTTTATTATCAATGTTTTTTCAAATACCAACAAGGCGCCAACTAGGTAGGTAAAATTGAAAGTTTAAAACGATTAGATTCGGTACTCGGTGTAAAGTAAAAAATTGGACTAACTAAATTGTCTTATATTTACTATTAACAAAATGTAATACTTTAAGAATAAAAATATGTTAAGAATTGAATTTAAAAAATATGTTTCTCGTAAATGTTTCCTGAACATTCAATTAACACTAACTATTCACTTGGTTAAGTGCCTATTAACAAACATTGTAATTTCTATAAACATATAACATCTATTTTTGTATATGTACATAAAAAATTATTATACACAAATACACAATCATGCTGCCAAGATGATCATATCGATTCTTTTGAGATTTTGAGAAAATGTTCTTATTACCAAATATAGATGCACTAAGAAAGGATTTTTCGAAAATCATATGTTTAAGAATTGAAACAGTTTTGAACTTTTTACCTAATGTATACATTTTTTCACTTTTTGGTTACTTATCTAGAAGAAATATTTTATTTTATTTAATATTTAGGTTTTAATAATTACCAATAGTTGTAAATGCTCCAATTAAATTAATATTGTATAAACAAATATCAGCCGAATGTTATACGAAGTACGAGTAAAATATTGTCATTTTCCAAACTGAGTTTGCTATTTACGTCAAAATAGTAATTGCTCTAATCTAAAATAGTAAAATATCTACCGCAAGAGGTCAGGTGATTCAGCTTTTGCTATAAATTGTTATATTGTTTAATTTTAAAAAATCGAATCACATGCAAAGCATGTAAAAAAAAAAAAAGATTGTAACAACTTGGATTAAATTTGTTCACAATTTTTAACCTATACGATGTTTAAAATATATCCGAGTAAGTGCAAAATTGTATGAATAAATTATTAGCAACGATGATTATATTTATTCGTTGTAACGGTATTTGTAACGGCGGTAGACGCCGGTCCACACGTATACCTACTTGGGTTATGGTAACCTATAGAAAATATAGAAAATAATAACTAAATTTATAACTATTACGAAATTAATAAAAACAAACACAAAAAATACATTATTCGCTTTGATAGAAATCCAGACTAGCAAATTAATGAAATTTCGTATGAAAACTTTATTATTGTTCGGATGCAACGTAATAGTTTTCGTTTAAACGTACAATATGTTAGCAGTTTGATTTTTAACATTGTTTACGAGTTATAAGACCAAAATCTAATTACAATATAACGTGAGCTAAGGGTTCATTAACCTTACACTTTGCAGACATAAAATACAATTAATCTACCACGTTTAATACCCTAGGCTTATTAAAATTGACATACCTAGGTACGGCTAAGGTACGGCCTAGACCACAGTATAACTTTTATCATATTGATTTAGGTGCTTTCGCGTCACACGCGTTTGGTAGGTATACGGAATTGTTAGTCACGATATTCAAACGCAAAGTACAAATACATGGTCAAGTGTATGGCAAAATGTCAATATGTTACAGAACAATATTTTTCAGTAATTTGATTTTAAATATAACATTTCAGTAAACTATTTGCAATATTGTGAAATGCTGGAATGAATTATTTCAAATGTTTTTTTGAAAAATTGCATACAATTCGGCTTCTTCGTTTTAACATACTATGAATAAAATTATACTCGGCAGTCAGTTTTAAACTATACTAATAGTATCTTTTTTTTTTCCGTTTTAACCGACGACGCCGCGGGATCTGCTTTCGCATTGCTTCCGCGGCAGCACTAATAGTATCTAAAAAATTAATTTTGTAATTTAATTGTTTTTTAATTTTTATACACCTCAATTTATGTTATATTTTGTCTCATGAAGTATTACTAGACCACATTATAAGATCTACAACGTATTCTGCATATTAGACAAGAATTTTTAAAAACGTTTCAATTAGAACACAATTTTGAATATTTAACGGCAGTTTATTTTTATCTAAAACGTTTTACATATACTTCTGAAAATGGCAAAATTCATAGGTCGTGTAAAATACAGAGATGAGTGAATAATATTGCTTTATTAGTATTTTATGATTGAATTGTACCATTATTTTCGAAAAAAATATTTTGAGTGAAAGAGGTCGGGTGGATTAGTTTATATTTTTAATTATGATTCATGTAACCAAAATTCTTAATTAGGTATATTGAACTTTTAATGTTATAACTTTAAAAAAAAAAAAGGAATCTAAATTCTGGGAAAATCGAACATTTCTAGTGCCTATAAATAACACAAATTTTATTATAATTGTTTAAAACAGTGAAATATTTTTATAAAAGGCAATAAATACTCAGTATATGTTAAGAGCTGCAGAAATTAATATTTATTGGAGGAGAACAACTAAATTATTAATATAATTTAAAGGTAATATGTGGAAATATTTTATTTCGTCAAAATTACATATTTAAACGGTCGTAAAATTATTTTTTGGATATAAGTTCATTTATTTTCATTAATCTGTAATTGATGGGTATAAAGAACTTAGAATTATATTTTTATTGCTTTTTGTCCAACTAAAATTATTTTATTAATATTTTCGAGAAAATAAAGCTAAGAAATTATCATAATTTAATTTAGCTAAAAATTATAATAAATAGCTCAAAAAAATCTTAAGAATATTTTACCGATTTTTAGAGAACGGTAATATAGTTTTATTGAAATTTAAAGTCTGCGAGGAAGAAAAGTGAGGAATAATTAAACTAGTTTTTTTTTGAAAACTGCTATACAGTAAATTTTTTGGTTTTTTTATAATTTTTTATCGGGTTTTCACAATTATTCAGAAAGCCATTGATAAATTTGCAAAATGATTGCCTCTCAAAATATCAACCAGAACCCATTATATGTTATGTATTTTCTCATTTGGTGATAATTGATTGGTGATCACACAAATAATTGTTTAAAATTAATTAAATATATTCTTTATTTAATTTGATTACTTTCTTAGTAAGATTCTAATAATAATTAGGTTGTTAACCAATGTTTTTTTTAGACTTTTCAATGAATAAAGTCTTTTTAATAAATATAAACTATGAATAATTTTGAATTTCATTGTCTATTGGGCCAATAAATTACTAACTCTGCCCATATCTATTGGACATTCCTAGGTCAAATATAATTGAAAAGTCTAGTATTACGAACGAACACGGCAGTTATTGGTATAGATTTTCGGTGCAAAAGGTTGTAAAAGAGTCCCTAGGGACAAATATATTTAGTGTATAAGTCTATTCGCGCAAGTCCTTTTAGGCCATTGATTTACCTCTTCGTCCGGAGTTCTTGGCCGTTGTTCGCCCGAGTCTGCAGCCACGTCCGAGTCGGTCCGTTCGGTGTTTAAATTCCACCATCCTTTTGCAATAGTTTCCTTGATATTCCCCCGCCATCCTGTGGAATAAATTGTTTCTTATATATACGACTGAAAATTAAACACCGATTAAGGTCAATGTACGAGTTCAAATGTGAATTTGCAGCAGTTTTACGAAAAACATATATTGCATTGCACGATGCCAATTTCATTAATTATTCATCGTTGTTTCGCCTGACGAAGACATCCGACCCCTACGTGACACTAATTTTCCTTGATTCGATCCTATACCCTGTTAAAGTATTACTGAAATAATTAAGTGCCTGTCAAACGAGTGATTATAAAACAGCTAAACAAGACGTATATAGTTTCAACCGACCGTGCAAGTAAAACAATTCACGTTTCACGTGATCCGTACTGTTACAAAGTAAATCATTTGTTATTATTCTTATGTTTGATCCAGGATTCTATTGTCATTGTGTAAGTGAAGGGTATCTACTATTACAGCGAATATTAAAAAAAAAAAAAAAAAAAAAAGAGAGAGGTTTTAAAAGCGCACGTGTAACATGTAAGCTGCTAACAGTGTCAACGAAAACATTATGATTTTTAACCAAAGGAACATCAAAACAGTAAGTGCTGTGTAAGATTCTGGAGATCACTTAGTTGAGTTTTTGATGTGTTTCGCAAAGGTTACTAGAAACTCCACCGATTCACAGTTCTACATTTATGATTAAAACTTGTATTTTTCCCTCAAGTTTGGACGAACTACCAACATGTATATACTATGTAAGTTTAGCCGTTATACGTTACTATTAAAGCTTTTCATACGAGCCCCATTAACGTCGTGCGACCGCCATCAGTCTCTTGTAAAACGCATTTAGATAGAAGATTATTTAATCGGTACCTCAGACACGAGTTTCCATTTGTAAACACAAACACACACACACACACACACACACACACACACACACACATACACATGCATAAAACCCAAAGCGATAAAAACCGGAAAGTGCGTTACTATTTTTATTTCCGGTTAATGGGCCATTTGCTTACTAGAAACCCGTATTCCTAGACGTAAATATACATCTATAATATACGTATATACTGAATTGTTCTCGTTTTTGTATAGTTCTTGCACGCCGTCAGGTGGAGACTTTTCGGAAATAAAAACGTCTTGCTTTCGTTAGACGCATCAATCACACACTCCGGGTCTGCCGGTCAGAAGAACCGTACACGGAACGTACACGTGTACACGCGGTGCGGTGCGACGCCCCCGGAAATGGTCCAGGCGATTTGTCCCCTCCAGCGCAAGAGTATAACCGGCTGATTAGTTCGCTCTGACTCAGACACCGTCCGTCCCTCACCGTGTACAGTGCAACCCATTTGCCGAGCTATTTCCCCCGCACACTAGCCAGGATAGAATATATGGTTCGCCCCCTCCGTTTTTCGAAATTACTTTCGACACGTTTTTTCCGACCCCTCGACCTTTCCCCTTACGTTTCTGCACCTCGTGCCGCGAGGATACTGTTTCCGAGCACACGGACTCGGCGCAATTCCAAGCGTAAAGAATGAAAGAAGACTTACACGCAGAGTTTCCGAGGGTTTAAAGGATTTTTCACCGAAAACGAGTCACGGCGGCCAACTATAATAATCAATTTCGTCCTAAGAATTAATTACTACGTACGAGAGTTTTTTCCTATTCCTGGTCCTAAAAATCTGAACTACGATTTAAAGGTAGAAATATTTTCCTATTATTAGCTTGATGATGCTTTGCGTCGCGCAGAGAACAGGAGTTCGAATATCGAATAATGTAATATATACACGTGTACACTATATTATTCGAATATAACTATATTTCTTACATTTTTAACGAAAACATTTATATGAATATAAGATATATAAGACGAATTTTATACAATAAATCGATTTCGTTTACGATGTCTATTTCATACGGCATCCTATTGTAGTACACGTGCGTGTGCAATTGCACACAGTATTACAAAAAAAAAAAATCGCGTTCGATAGGACGACAGGCGACGGGGACTGTTGACTTGAGATAGGTAAGTTGAACAGAAAGGGATGTCTGGCTCTGTCTTTTTCAGGGAACCTTAATGTTTGTTATTCGAATGTTTTAAGATGGAAGCAAAACAAACACGTGGATGTGAAGGGGAAAAGTGACATTATATATACGATAAGTTATCCCTGCGGCTCCCTAGGGATTTGCGTACACCCAGATGGGGGACAAGGTATTTCGCTCCGGTAGTAAAAACGCTTTTGTCCCTGCACTTCCCCTAGGGAATCAATGTGTATACGGAACTTTCGTAAAATTATACAATAATATAACGGGTTTATGCGACAACGATTCGTTGGGGATTAGGACTTTTAACAGTAAAAAAAATATGTATCCAAAATGGACATTCAACTATTAAACATCATATTTCAACTCACTCGAGTCGTTTATATGTGTAGTGGTTCTTTTAGTGCACTTTATCAAAACATAGACTTAATACTTTTTGCATTCAACATTATATTTTATGCTATGTTGAATAATATACTCCTCCGAAATAACAACACATTAAAGTAATAAAAGCATTTTTAAGTCAAACATTAATTATTGTAAGTGTTGTAATTAGAATTTATGCCCTGCTTTCATATTACAGTTTTTAATTTACAGCCGATTTTATTTATTTTGAACACAGAAATACCTCGGGAATTATAATTCATTTTTTTTTTACATTTAACGATGTACCAATTATATCACTTTTTATCCATTATCATAATTCTGATTCAACTTAAAAATAAAAACGTATGAACATTATGAATAGAAATCAATAGTTTTTTTTTATATTGATCCAGAGTGCAATTTTATTTTTTAGAAAATATGTTCGAAAATTGATCTAATATCAAATAAATGGTTAACAATAATTATTCAAAAAGTTAGTATAGTTATTTAAATTTTATTATTTATTGTTTAACGTTTAAATATAATATTAATTAATTAACCCTTCTTTTTTTATTATTTACAAATTTTGCTTCAACAGTTTATAAATCTTACCCAATATATATTATATTCTGTTGTGAAGATTAAAGAATATTTTTATAATCTATTATATAATGGCGTATTTACATATTAATATTGTAGGAGTATTGGTATCTTTTTATATATATACATATGCGCGACGTAGTAAAAATATTATATTGTTTTATAATTGTATAATGTAAAAATTAATATTTATTTTTATGCCTGATAGACAATTTAAAAATAGTATATTATAATAACTATTATATTATTTTTATACTCGGCAAAAATATTTGGAACGTAATTAAACGGTTTAAAAAAAACAATAAGTTTTTAACAGAAATAACAGAATATGTTAAAAATATAGTTTTAAACAAGATAAAACAGATTTTAATAAAAAGTTATTTTGAAGAAAAAAATACAAACCCCTGATTTTGCAACTCAATGTTGATTAAAATTTAAATAGCTTTTAACGTGTCGTTGAGAATGAAATCATGTTTTAAACTAAACAAATATATAATATATGAGCTATCATGACTTTACAAATTATAAAATTTTGACACTTTAGAATACTTTTCTCTTTTCTACATATTTTTCTTATACGAACAAAAAGATTCCCGGGGGTTGTGGAGTTTAAAATTTATTTTTCAAGGATTTGCCGAAGTGTGTTGTTAAATCTTATACACATAGCTAGATAATATTACGGTCCACATTCTACACGTTATTACCCGTGAAATATAATACAATGTCACGTGTCAAAAACGGAAGATATCATAATGTGTGTGTGTGTGTGTGTTATTTATTGGAGACATATTGAAATTTGAAAGCAGTGTACTATTGAGAGGTTTCTTTAATAATCAAAGACCCATCGTGGATGGATCATCCTCAGACAACCAACACAGGCCCGTTGTAGGTCGCAAGCACGTTCAAAGCTTCGTTCCGTCCCGTTCAGGACCTCGGAAGGTAATCCCACTAATCCTCAGTTAATCCAAAACGCGTGCTGCGAAGCTAACCATGGCTATCCTCATCCCCCTCGACTGTCCACACACGTCGACAACGTCGTGCCTGGATTACCGTCTGGGAAAGAAGGGGCGAACGACGATGCGACGCTATTCATCAACCCTTACCGCTTCCACCACCTCTACACTGTTACCCAACGGGGTCGTGTCACCGCCTGGATTAGCGCGTGGAATACTTTCAGCTTGCGCAGGGTTTTTATTAATCTAAATTTTGGCATTGATTTAGGTCCACTAGTACGTATATAATACATCCTCTACTTCTACGTTAGGTCAGAATTATAACGTATCAACAAACGTGTGGTATGTTGCAGTACCTTTAGGGCGTAAAAATCACACACGTATATTGTGGGACGAACGCGATGGTAATAATTTCTCGTCCTTCAACACGAGAAGGTCGTATATATATATATATATATATATATATATGTATATTGATATTTATATAAATGTATACTAGTTCATGTACACCATTTGGAGGGGAGTAAGGGGAGGGAAGAGAGAAGAAAAAATTTTTCGGCTTGGTTTATTACCGATAACCTAGCAATAGTATGGAATAAGGCTTTTAAATTTATAGCGAAAATAAATGCGAGTGTTTAAACTTTTACGAAGCTTCGAGAAAAATAGTACTGAGTAAAAATCGTCCATGTCCGTTTAAATTTCTCAGTACACCATAAATTAATTAAATGTTATATAATCTATTTAACAATTAACACTTTTTTTTAAACATTCATAACAATAGACGGTGTTGGATTAGTTGTTTATTTAAATCTCTACTACATTAGTGATTTTTATTTTTATTTTCATTTTTTGTTAGCACTTAAAAAAATGTTCATGTAAGAGTAAATGTTATTGTGATGGTTATTCATCATTTCGTATGAAATTAAATATAATAGTGTGAGATATTTGTGTGTGATGGAAAACTAAATTGCTATCATAATTTAACGAATGCCATGAAAACCGTGTTTTTAATAATTTAAAATAACTAATGGTTTTTAGTGAACATAATACTAAATATTTCAGAGTTGTTTTAATATATATT